TTTCAGCAAAATCTATGGTTTTGCTTATTGTAAAATGTCTAAAGCAAAACTAATTACATGAAATATTAATTGAAATATTTGTTGTATTATTTCAAAAATTATAATAAATGAAGGTTCACTTACCAGTTTTTGATTTTTTATTGCTTTTAGTTTACTAGATTCTGATCTGATTTTATTAACGTCATGATCGTGTTCATTTAAGAACCTCATCATCTTCAAACATCTTCCAAATCGGTGGTAGTCTCATCACTCATGTCTAAAGTACACAGCAGAAAATAAAAGATTTATTAATAAATTTAATTAATAATATATAATTAAAAAAAAATATATAATTATAACAAATTATATATAAATAAATTATGCATATACAATACTCGTATAAATTGTATTTATTGTATTTAATTTAAATGCTCTCATGGACCTTTCCATTACGGCCAAACATAAAGTGTACTTCCGCAAGGCTGAAGTACATTTTGGTAGTATGGAGAGGAGGGGTTTATAAGGAGAATCCCTATAATTTGAATTTCCATTATAGTTCTACTTTTTCATAAGGCTTATCGTTCTATTTCAAATTTTCATTAGGTAAAAATTGTCCACCTAAAATTATGGTATCATGTATTAAAAAAATTACGCACGATGCGACTATATAGAATATAAGATTCAACATGTGCAAGAAGTTTTGAGAATTATTTTTTATAAATTATTTATTTCAACTACTCAGCACATTGTTCATATATTTTTCATATAAATGTATTCTTTAAATATTGTAACAAAATAAACTCAAATAAATAAAATATAAATAACACTTCATATATAGTAATATTTTAGGTTTATTTGTTGTATGACAGAAATTTACAACATTTGTATTATATATTCACCAAAGTACAACATTCTATGTTCTCTAAAAATGGAGCATTCGTCTACTAAATGCATTACATTGCCCTTCAATTTAAGGTTGCATATCGTACAAAGCGTGTCTTGACTTTCATACGGTACGTTATCCTTAGTGTTATTGCACAGTACTGCTCGTCAAAGTAATTATTGACACCTAGAACACATAATTCAGATTACTATATGCATCCCTTGAGTTAATCATTCTTGCCGTTTCTACAAAATTTTTGCGTTCTTCAATATTTAGTTTCGTTATTACATTTTTCTCTCATAGTTTGCAGTTATTCTCAATACCAAAATTATTCGTCACATTTAACTTGGATCCCAGTTCAGACCATTTTCTACAACATAATATACTTTTTTTTCATTTATTAAGTACTGCGCTAATGTTTTTTGAATCCGATTATCTGGCAAATTCCTAAGCCGTTTGATGTAAACAAAATGCAATTTCAATGTTTGGGTATATAGCTTCGGTAGTCCAGTCTCTATATGCACCATATAACTTGGGGTATTTTTTGGCAGACGAAATGCACTTTCAGGCACATGTTGGCAATCATGACACCAACAGGAAGAAATTTACTTAAGTCATCAACGAACAATGCAAACAATATAGGGCTTAAGAAACAAACTTGTCTTACTGCAGCACACGTTTGGAACCATCTCGCGGTGCAGCTTCAATTCCCTACTGTTCAGTCAACGGTATACACAAAATTGCATCTGTACCTGATTACATGGAAATAATTTGAGAGTTCATATATGATCTTCGGAACAAACAAGGAAAACCAAAAGTACAACAGAGAGAAGAAAATAAAATTAAATACAAGTAAATTGTAAACCAATATACGAATTCACAAAAAAAACAAAATATTACAAACAGTGCCAAATTGGCCCCTAAATATATATACCTATACATATACAGTGAGCGACAAAAGTCTACATACACCCCCATGTCTGCTAGCTCGTAACTCCAAAGACATAATAGAAAAAAGTAATGATACAGTTTTGTTTAGAACTGTATATATACGAGTAGTACACTAATTATTGCAATGCCTGTTCATAGTATCCATGTTCTTCACAATATCAAGGTTGACCCATTGATGATAAGGCATATGAAGACAAAAAACATCCGATTAGATATGAATTTTAATATACATAGGTATATGCTTGACCTGCAGATATCTTTAAAAAGTAATGCCATATATTGGAAATGGTGATAGATTTAATCTTCTAGTCAGACTAAAAGTTGTTATTTTAATACTACTTCAAAATGTTAATATATACAGGGCTTCTAAATTACCCCGTGGTAAGTTGGAAGATGCATTGCTTTATTAAAAAACTAAGATCAAAAAGCTGTATTTGAAGGATTATCTGTGACAATGGGTAAAGCTTTTCTTGTGACTTTGGGCGATTTGGATTTTCAATACTATAACTTACATAGGCGAAATGCAACACATATTAGAGTTAAAAGTAAGCAACAAAAAAGCAACACTCACGCAGACGATGTAATAATTCAATGTCTGAATATCGAATGTGTACTGTTATTCAAATCAATATCTATATTTACCTAACAAAAAAGGAATCACTTTATTAACATTGAGAAAACGTAGTAGTTTCTTTTAGGTCTAGATTACCTAGAAATGCATGTTCGTTTTATTTATTCAAAAGTTTGCATTTTCATGGGCGATAGTGGGTTAAATAAAATAATAAAAAAATAATAAACTTTAATAAACAACTTTAAACAACAAAACAAACTTTAAACAACTTTTTATATTAATAAAATATGCAAATTTTATTCGTTTAGAAATAATTGTTGTGCAAAATTTCAGCGTAAACGATACACCGCCCTTCAAATACGAAATCTGGTTTCAACATTGCAGCACGTTGGTGGTACTGTGATAGTATGTAAGGTATTAGGAATAGCTGATGTTGGATATTTGGTATTGATTTATATTGACCTGAACCAACATTTACTCAAGAGCATATTTACAGCAACATTTACAATCTTCGGAATCGCGCTTTTCATCAACAAATGTCTGCCTTATTATGCCCAACGGTAACCCCATAGGTCTTATCAATCACTAGACCTATACTTTTTGATCGAATTTTGGAATAAATGAAGCGAATATTGGAAAATTGTAGCTTTAACTATCAAACATTTTTTAAAGGCTACTCTCAGTCAATTCTGTTCAACATTAACGGCAGCTGAGATGCAAAATTGGGAAGTAATATCCATACTACAAGGTTTGTAAAAACTAACGTAGTTGAAGGGAAAAGCAATTAAATAACATATATAAATATTTTATTTTGTAAATTTGCCAATTTTTATTACTAATACTGATCATTTTTACATTTGTATTGAAACGTTTGCCCCAAATCATATCCACTCGCCCATTTAGATAAAAAACTAACAAACAAGTTTTGATTAATTTTTATTAAACAATCTTTTAGTGTTATATGTGCAAATGTATTGTATATATTGTATATTATATGTATATTAATGTTACAGTAGTTAAAGCTACAATTTTCCAATATTCGCTTCATTTATTCCAAAATTCGATCAAAAAGTATAGGTCTAGTGATTGATAAGACCTATGGGGTTACCGTTGGGCATAATAAGGCAGACATTTGTTGATGAAAAGCGCGATTCCGAAGATTGTAAATGTTGCTGTAAATATGCTCTTGACTAAATGTTGGTTCAGGTCAATATAAATCAATACCAAATATCCAACATCAGCTATTCCTAATACCTTACATACTATCACAGTACCACCAACGTGCTGCAATGTTGAAACCAGATTTCGTATTTGAAGGGTGGTGTATCGTTTACGCTTAAATTTTGCACAACAATTATTTCTAAACGAATAAAATTTGCATATTTTATTAATATGAAAAGTTGTTTAAAGTTTGTTTTGTTGTTTAAAGTTGTTTATTAAAGTTTAATATTTTTCTATTATTTTTTATTATTTCATTTAACCCACTATCGCCCATGAAAATGCAAACTTTTGAATAAATAAAACGAACATGCATTTCTAGGTAATCTAGACCTAAAAGAAACTACTACGTTTTCTCAATGTTAATAAAGTGATTCCTTTTTTTGTTAAATAAATATAGATATTGATTTGAATAACAGTACACATTCGATATTCAGACATTGAATTATTACATCGTCTGCGTCAGTGTTGCTTCCTTTTAACTCTAATACGAGTATGTCTTCCATTTAGCCTGTGTAAATTAGAGTATTGAAAATCCAATTCGCCCAAAGTCACAAGAAAAGCTTTACTCACTGTCACAGATAATCCTTCAAACATATAGCTTTTTGATCTTAGTTTTTTAATAAAGCAAAGCATCCTCCAACTTACTACAGGTAAATTTAGAAGCGCTGTATAGATTAACATTTTGAAGGAGTATTAAAATAACAACTTTAGAAGATTAAGTCTGTCACCATTTTCAATATATGGTATTACTTTTTAAAAATATCTGCAGGTCACGCATATATGTACATCAAAATTTGTTTTCTTCATATCTCTTATCATCAATCGGTCAACTTTGATATTGTGAATAAAGAGAATATTATGAACAGGACTCACAATAATTAATGTACTATATCCAGACGTGACTACGCAAAAGGTTTAAGTACCGTGGTTAGTTAGAAAAAATAATAAAGCAACTTTGAGCTTAATGTTTTTAAAGTAAACTATGATGAAAGAAAACTATTTTTGTCAGAGAAATTTTTTGTTCCATCAATTTATATGCAATTGAAATCAATGGAATTTTTAACGAATTCGTAATGTATATAAGATATATTTAAATTTTGTACACATCAGCAGGATACCTTCGACCAAAAATATTTATTTAAATACACGGCATCAACTCAATAAAATGGGTCTTTGTAGGTTTAATATTGAATGTTCATATGTACGCCCAAAACTGTGTAGCAGCAAACTTTTTTATATTAATCATATATTCATTCCCCTAAATCACATATGGAAGAGAAGAAGTATATTAACAAGTATTAATTAAATATTAACTATTGTAAAAATAATAGTAGACCATGATAATAAAGTTTTATAACAAAAATAAATTGTTGTATTGTATATATTCAAGCACTTTAGTTCGGTCATATAGCTTTTTATTAGAAATAATTCTATAAAAGAAATGTCACATAGTGATAAGTATAACTTAATGCACATAAAAACTGAGGAACATAAACCAAATGATACACAAGCAGATTATGAAAGGAAATTTCAATATTCTCTAAATTATATACGTTATTTGATAGGGCCAGACTCTTCCACAGTATCAAAACCGGAAAAGAAAGACACGGAATGGCCGCTATATGAACGACGTTTTGAGGCTATGAGAAATTATAGTTCATCTAATGATTATGGACCTATTTTCAAAAAGAGAGTAGTAAGGGAGTGCGAAAGAGCCAAGAGTGGGATATATATCAGCGCCATGTCAAAGTGTGATCGTTGTGGAAAAAATCTTTATGAAGATAACCATTTTGTGTATGACTTAACTGAGTCAAAGAAAGGTATTGGAATTAAATATTATATAAGTGTAATCCTAACTGAACAAATTTAGTGATATAGAATATCAACATTATCCTGACTGTCCAAGAGAGAAGAACTATATCATAACGATTATAATTAAATCATAAAAACATTAATTGCGTGCTCGATATACATGTATATCCATATAATCTTCCAGTACCAATTAATATAGATAGATTTTTTGGTAATTTTGAAGTAATTTTTGTCATTATAGTGCGATAAGCATCTGAACTCGTTCAAATATATGTTTAATAATTTTCGTTTAAGCTTGGGCTTAAGTTATAATGAATGTAATCGAAGTATAATCAAAATATATATTATAATATTAAAGTTTTTATATCACATGAAAACTTGTTTATCTGAATAAAAAGAGCAAATAACAACGAAAATCATAACTCCGAAATTCCACTTTTAATAAATTTTTAGTAAATTTTTTGCTACATATAACTCATCATCACCAACTAATAGGTATCATAAAAAGTATTCGCCGTTTTTTAGATAATTTCTGAAACATTTTTTATTATTATAGCTATTTTTATTTATGAACTTTTGTCTTTTTTTTTATGGCTTTTGGTTTATCGGCGAAAAACTTGGCTAAATAATAATTTCAGTTTCTCGTCGATCGGTCTTTGTTTTTATCATTTCGAAAGTTTTGAAAATACCGAACCTAAAAGCTGGACAGTAGTGGATCGAATTTATCGTTGCATCAAACTGGAGCAGTCCGTAATAGACCATTCCAATCCCACCAAGCACTCAACATAACTTTGTTTATAGGCAATCTAATCTGGTTTGAAATCATCTATTGAGAGTTACCGGTCTTTATTCGACAATTATTATTATAGATAATTCACTTCAGTAATGATTCAATTTCGTTGCAATAGGTATCGCTTTTGGTAATTTAGTCAATCAAATTTCACATGTTAATGCATGCGGTATCCAAGCATCGAGCGTCTTTGCATTGCCTGCTCATTTGAAATGACTCCAAACTGATATGTAATTGATGTTTAGTATCTCTGCTATCTCCTGATAGCTTCTGTATCGGTCATGCTCCGCTAATTGCAAAATATCATCGACGTTTTAAGTGCCTAACCGGAACAAAGTGTATTTTTAGCGGTAAAATTTCTGGAACAGAATCGAACAAACCATTCATGGGTCAGGCGTTCACTCACATCATCCTTACCGTAAATCGACATGTTTTCGTATATTTCCTTAGATACCATCTATCGCTCGTTTTCAACTTAATATAACTTTTTACATGAGCGGCTATTACACACATTGGAATTAGTTTACCAAATATATGGCTACCAACACCATCTTGTGACAAAAAGCAGTGAATATTTTTTACATAATTAATAGTATCTTTCGAAAGTAAATAAATAGTTTAATCACACGTGACGTCATATAACGTCATCTTGTTTACTGTTAATCTGGCAGCGCTTTTAAGATAAAAGTTGTAACGTTTAGTTTTACGAATCAAAGAGCTTCTCTTTTCTTTTGAAATTTTTTTTTCTCTAGCTTTTCATATTTAATTAAATTTAAAATGGCGATTTTTCTAAAATATGTGTGCAAATTTCCACAATGTCATAAAGAGTTTGAAACTGTGCTACAATTGGCACAACATGTCCAAGAAAACCATAAGAAAATGGCTGCCAACAAAGAAAGGTCAGCATATAAAATGTTCGTTCGTGAACGCCCATCTAAATCCGTACAAGGTTTGAATAAAAATTGTAAGGATGGAAATTTTAACTAATTTCCAACCTACATACAATCACTGTGGAGTTAATATCTACAATGAAAACTGGTTAATTTTTATTGTAAATATAAAACGTAAACAACTTACCATAAACCGACCCCCGCATGCACGTAATTGCACCAAATAAACAAACCTAAGATTACATTGAAAATGCAAGTAATATAAAATATATTTAAACAAATAAATAATACACTCACCTTTAATATTTGTAATATTTATTTAATATAAATATTTAATAATAATAAATATTTATAAATAAATAAATTTATTAATAAATAATAAATCACAAACACCGGCATAAACACGTTTGTAAACAAAACAAGAAATGTCAAAGCGTGAAAGCTTTGGTTGAACTAAATACAAAGCACTGCGAATTTAAGAACACACGAAAACACAAAGCACAGAAATTACACCCAGGCGAACAACAGCAGCAAAAGACAACAAGTATCAAAAATACCAACGGCAAATGTACCGATGCGCTACAGGAAAAGCTTCGGTCATTTGAGTATAAATAAACGCGCATTGTACAAGCAAGGGCACTTGTTGGGAAACTCTCAAAGGTAGTAATACGTCTTTGCGAAACAAGTCAGTAGAACTATAGTGTCAAGGTAGTATATACGTCTTGACAAGTAGATTGTATATGTAGTCTTATATGTAAATCAAGCCAAGGTAGTCATGATACATCTTGACTAGTAGAATTTTCTGTAGGTTTGAGTTAGGATAGTAATACGTCCTAACATTAATGCTAACCAAGGCTGTAACCCAGCATAACACTTCTAATCTTTAGATAACGACGTCTTCTGACAAAACACCAAGATTAGCACAAGTAGTGTCGTCTGACAGCAACATTTCAGGCACGTGGAAACAACAATCGGAACAATCATCGAAGCACAATTATTCCAAATAATCGTAATCATCAAATTAGCAAACCAGCATTATATTATAATTAATTAGATTGTAAAACCTTGTTTTACTTTAAATTCTCCTAAATAAATAATTGAATTACTACATCACATTGTCTTTGACTTCCAAAATAAAAATTCTATTGCAACGACCCCTGGACGACGGCTGAGTATACCTCAGCATCATCAGCGACAGAAAGTGTGTCGTTACAATTGGCGCCCGAGCAGGGACCTGGTTGGTCAATCTCAGAAGTCAAGACAATAATAGGAGAATATAGATTTTAATTCAAGGAATATCAAAGCGCTAATCATATCAAGGAATCATGGCGGCAAGGACCTAATTGGTCAATCACTGAAGTCAAGACTATAACGAGAGGGAAAATTTAAGAACCAGATAAGGGAGATATAATTAACGAATGTTGCAAGAGGAACAATGTCGTCGGGATCAAGTAAAATACCAGAGAAGGACAAACGTTCTATAAATCCTCCAGTGAACTCATACCTTCAAATAGTGGAACAAGTGCAGAAATGGTCCTGTAGATATGAAGGTGGCAAGGATCCATTGGGTTTTATCGAACACGTAGAAGAACTAGCGGACATGTACAGTATTGATGTAAACTCAATTCCCCGCACGATGCCCTTGCTTCTCGAGAATAAAGCGCTGACATGGTATCGCAACAACAATTGTCGTTGGCAGCTCTGGTCGAGTTTCAAGTTTGATTTTTTGAAGTACTTTATATCCTCCAGATACATTGATAAACTAGAGAACGAGGTACGATTACGTCTTCAAAAACCAAAAGAAAGTTTTAGAGATTATTTAATTGATATCAAAACTCTAATGCGACGAGCCTGTATTATTCAAGAGTCGCAACTGGAACGTATATATCGCAATATGAGCATTGATTACCAAAAGTACGTCAGACGAAGAGATTTCGAAACTTTAGATGAATTAATAATAGTAGTTGGTGACTTCGAAGCACTTCGAACAGAGCAGAACAAAGCAAATCAAAGCCATGGACAAGAAACGAATATCAGGCAGTTGGTAGTTGAAGTTGAGCAAGCAATTCCATTGCATGATACTATGATGCAAGCGCAACCTAGGAAAATACCGAAGAATGTTACACATAGTTTAAAATTCGAGTCACATGTCCAACGAAAGAAGCAGAGCAAACAGGAGCAGAATCAGTCCAACCTACGTATAACAAAGCGAAACATGCAGGATCGAAATTATATAGTACAGCATCCGATACCACTACAAGAAATTTCACAAACGCCATGTAAATGTCCCATACCTCCACAACAAGAATTGCAGCGAATTATGTCGATTAAAGAAAATCCAGAAGTATTTTATCCAACCCGAGTTATACCAGAACAAGTTCAAGTGTATGAAATACAACCACAGCGAGATCCACAACTTGTTACGCCTATCAAAGAAAATAATCAAGGACTTCGTAAATATCGAATTTTCAATACATATTCTACACAAGATCAAGAAAACGTACAACGGCAAATACAAGATGTACAACAATCACGAGAGCTGCAGGTCCACGAAGAACATCCGATTACATCCTCAACAGAATTGGTAGAAACCTCATCAGAATCCGTACCTCATGAATCAACGCCCACAGAAACTTCGCTAATTCCACGACAGCAGGTACAAGATATCCTACCACAACAAGGTCAACAAAACGATATAATCATGGAAACTACTGCAAGACAAGCTCAGATAATTCAAGAAACACAAAGTATCAGTAAATCATCGCAGCAACTATTACCAATTACTCAAGAAATTTTGGTGAAAGGCACCATGCAACAAGAACAACTACTGCAGTCACATCTAGAGAAAGTTGGTTCTTCTCATGTGAATAAAAAAGTAAACAGATTATTAAATCAAGTCGGAAAATATTGTCTTATACCCCAGGAACAATCCAGTTCGCAAAATCAGCAACGACAAGTGAAAGGGCGAAGTAAACTTCAACAGGATTACGATCAGAATACTACAGACCAAGACAAATTCTATAAAATATTCAAAAGTCCAAAGAAACGGAACAGAAACCATGCTAACAGGTAGCGCGTCCCGTCAGAGTTCACTTTCCCGAAGAAGGAGGGAAATGTAAGGATGGAAATTTTAACTAATTTCCAACCTACATACAATCACTGTGGAGTTAATATCTACAATGAAAACTGGTTAATTTTTATTGTAAATATAAAACGTAAACAACTTACCATAAACCGACCCCCGCATGCACGTAATTGCACCAAATAAACAAACCTAAGATTACATTGAAAATGCAAGTAATATAAAATATATTTAAACAAATAAATAATACACTCACCTTTAATATTTGTAATATTTATTTAATATAAATATTTAATAATAATAAATATTTATAAATAAATAAATTTATTAATAAATAATAAATCACAAACACCGGCATAAACACGTTTGTAAACAAAACAAGAAATGTCAAAGCATGAAAGCTTTGGTTGAATTAAATACAAAGCACAGAAATTACACCCAGGCGAACAACAGCAGCAAAAGACAACAAGTATCAAAAATACCAACGGCAAATGTACCGATGCGCTACAGGAAAAGCTTCGGTCATTTGAGTATAAATAAACGC